TTTTTGCTGGAGTTAAGCACCACCGGGGGGCAGCCTTGGACTGAGGGGTGGGTGGACATGGGGGGGTAGTAGTCACCCAGGGACGCTGCAGTTTTGTCTGTCTGCTGCCCCCCCCGCCCCCCTCCAACATGTTCACACACCTGGACGGATGAGTGAAACCATCGACTCATTCAGTCTCAGTCTGGGCAGGAAATCAGACTGAGATGTTTCCACTGTTCTGATGGTGTGAATGGTGTGAATGGTGTGAATGGGGTGAATGGTGTGAATGGGGTGAATGGTGTCTGTGAACCAGGTCTTTTCTGCTGAACTTCACAACATCAAACACAGAAGGAACTCATTTCTTTTATATTTTCATTCTATTGTTATTTGTTGGAAACTGTTGGAACATCAGTTCCTGGAACTGACGTCACTCAGTGTTTGGTCAGTGCTGGTGGTCACTGGTGGTCACTGGTGGTTGAACAGAACTCTGACCCAGTCACATGGTCCACGTGGGCCAGTGGTCCACGTTATTCTGGTCTGTGACTTCTTCACTGGGGCCCGATCAGTGCTGTAGGTGGTCTACAGAGAGTCTTCAGCTCCCCCTGCTGGCTCAGTGTTTGGACCATGGTCAGAACCTGCCCTGGTCTTCATGTCAAGTCACGGTGCCTGGTGGTGGACAGGCAGCATTACAACAACAAGGAAGGAGTTTAAATATCACGTTTGTTTTGTCCCTACACTGCCACCAGGGGGACAACAGGGAAGAATGTCTCCGAGGACAAATTTGTCCAAACACACGCGGTCAATGCTAAACCATGTCTTCAAAGTCATCAGTATGAGGGGCCACAGACTGTGGTGGGGGAGGGAGGGTGTCAGAGGGGGAGGGGCAGCCGCTCCAGCCTTTACCTCTCACCTTTTTGAGGATGTTTGCCCTCAGGTCACCTGGTTCACCACAAGACAGATAGCAAGGTAACTGAATATGTGGGGCGGGGGGCAACTCTGTACCGTCATGGCTGACACAGGTATTTTCCTGGAGCCTCAGGTTGGGAGGAGGGCAGAAACATCTTCTTCTCAGTAAGACTAACTAAGTAACCCAGTTAACTAACTAATCATAAGTTAACAAAGTTAGTTTGATATAAATTCATCAGTTAAACATGAGGTTTCATGAACCACAGACTTTGATCTTTGTACCTGCAGGTCTCAGAGAAGGAGGTGAAGGAGGAGGAGGAGGAGGAGGGGGAGGAAGAAGAAGAAGAAGAAGAGGAAGAAGAGGGGGAGGAGGAAGAGGAGGAAGAGGAGGAAGAGGAGTCCTGCTGCTCCTCTCTAGACCTGTGTCTACCAGCAGGACGGAGGAGCAGGAGGGTCGACGGTCGAACTTGTCACTACACCACAGCTACACCGGAGGATCTGTCACTCTTCATCCCGTGTGCGGTAGCGAGGACGTCGCGTGTGTTAATGGACGTGTGTGCGGCGCCACTCAGCTAACGTTAGCCTTTTAACAAGGTCAGTTTAAATGTGTCATTCAGCCGCTGTTGTTTCGTTTGTTTTTTATCTCCATGTCAGCTTCTTCACCGACTACTGAATTCATTTTATTTGACAGTAACAACCCGGGCTGTGGTTGACGCGGCTGGGTTGGCTCTCCGCTCAGACTTTGATAACGTTAGCTCTTCTGTTAGCTCGGGGGCTATCGCGGCTCCCTCCGTTTTCAACCCTACATTTTATTGTTGTCACGTTTTGACCCACAGATGTGTGGAGTTCACTTCAACACAGTGACTCCCGTCGATATTAGTCGAACAGTAAGGGAGGAACGGTGCTCAGATGACGCGGTGTCAGAGAGCTAGCTGTGCGGCGGTTGGTGCAGCAGCGGCCGCTCAGAATAAAACAGGTGCAGCTCTGCGCTGAGGACGGAGGATGGACGGACAGATGTGTGGAAGCAGCCGCCGTCACTGGGCTCCGTTTAAAGTCGCTCTTAATCCACGACATTTGTCATAGTTTTTATTTCTGATCGTGTTTTACAGCGTGGCTGCTGAGTTCGTTCTTCTTCTTGACCGCAGTTTGTTTTCCAGGCCCGGGTTCATCAGTGACGGGCCCTGGAACAACGTCTGTTCACTGAGCTCACAGTCGGACTAGGCCCGACTCACCGACTGTAGGTCCGACTGTTGGGCAGGAAACAATGTTCCTGTTAAGTTAGTGAACAACCAAGAACCATGACGGAACAGTGACGTTCCTATCACGTGACTTTAGCTGCTGTTTCTCACCAAAAGGACTGTAGTCTTTCCATGGAGTAACGTTGTAGAAGTGAAGGTGTTCAGAGCAGTAGATGAAGAGAGTGTTCACCAACTACAACCTACACAACTGTGTCTTTATCTAATTAGTTATTACAACGATGTGGTTTTAGTTCAGTTTTGAATTAAACTGTCACACACACACACACACACACACACACACACACAGGAAGGACGACTGTTCGCTTTATTGTTTGACAACATTCAAAATATCTTAAAGTTCAGTCCAACATTTTTACTTTAATCTCCATCAGTGTTTGTCCACCTGAGCACAGACCCTGTGGGGGGGGGGGGGGAGGGGGGGCCACCTTAACACTGCCTCGCTCCATCAGATGTTTCCTCCACTGTAAACAATTGTTGTTCTGTCTGAGGTCGGTACGTTTGAAATTCACGAGTGAAGATTTGTTGTTTCATACGTTGTTTACAAACATCCAGATGTGACCACATTGACCCCCCCCCCACAACAACAACAACAACAACAACAACAAGGCAGTACTCTCTGTAGTACTTCTTCAGTTCCAGTACCTTGTCCTCCCTTGTGAAGCCTCCTCCCCCAGAGTGTGTGTGTGTGCTCTCAGGTTACACTGGAGTGTGTGTTGATGAGTGTGTGTTTAGACCACTACACAGGAAACATCCAATGGTCTGCTGAGTTTGTTATTCAGCTCCTGCTCCACCCAGTGGCCAATGGGTGAACTACGTCAGTTCACTTGGCCCAAAGTGCCAGTCTACGTCCAAACACTGATTTATTTTCTTTATTCTTTTTCAGGTTTTGGCCACTGCTGATCCTGTAGTATTAGTGGTTTTGTCCTAAAGTACTGCAGTACATCGGTCAAATATATATGGTATTTATTTATTAACCCTTTAATTACCATAAATCAATAAAACCGTGATACTAGATGTTAGTATTTGATTATATGTTTTATTATTTGTATCCACCTCGATCGTTGTCTTTTTTGCCCCCACACTGTCACGTCCAACAGTTCCAGGCTCTGGTGCACCACTCTTTTACTTTTATACTGTGCCGCAGGTTGGATGTCGTACTGATGTCCTTCTTCATCTTTCACATGTTTCAGCTTCATTATGGGATGCTCCTCCTGAAGTCCCATTTGTTTGTGTTCATTTCTCCGCAGCTCCTCGTCGTTGGCTGTAAAGATTCCTCCGAGCGCTAAAATTCAGCCATGAACTAAGAGTTACTGCGGCACCTTCAACAGTACCTGGGACCGACCTCGGTGCATGTGGCCTCTTCAGTTGTGCAGAGACGGCCGGCCTGCCCTCAGGCCCGCTGCTGGGACCATGAACCCTGTGAGGAGCCGGACGGTCCTCCTGGTCTTTGGGCTCCTGGTGTCCGCGGCCCACGGCGCTGTGGCAGAGCAGCAGGATCCCGTGGTGGAGATGATGCCTGTGGAGTTGGAGGCCTCCATGCAGTCGTCTGTGCTCCATCGGCTGCAGGCTTTGGTAGAGGACGGTCCACCAGCAGCTGACCCAGAATCATCCGTACACGACCAGGGAGCGTCAGCTGGTATACCGGACTCCTCCGCGTTTGTGGGTCAGATGTTCCAGTTGAAGGTTCCACCCGAGTCTGCCAGAGGGAACTGTAACGTCCATGTAAGTGTCATTTCAGTAGAACTCTGTCCAATCACATCTGATCACAGTCTTCCTGTTCATCAGGGCTGCTCTTTCATACTGTTGTCAGATTTGACACCTTTAACACCTTTTTTTTGGTTTTATATCTATCTATATAACATATATATATATATATATATATATATGCAACATATATTGTAGCTAATGTATTGTTTAGTTTATCAGATGGTGCAGAAATGAAGGGACCAGATGTGTACTTTCTTGATCTGGATCTGAATCCACCAGTGCCCCCTCCTCCTCCCTCCCCCAAATCCCCAACCAACCACCCATAAAACAAGAGCAATAGTAGAAATGCACACAGTAATTGAACAGTGACCTAATTGGTTGAGCCCTGGAGGCCAGTGTGTGTAGCTGCAGCAGCAGTCTATAAATAATCACCTTGTTGGTTGGTGACATCCTGTCACAGACTGATGACTCAGAGGAGCTCTCTGCTTCATGTTGATCAACTGAATGAAGCCGGGGGGGTGGTGTGTGATGTTTCTACTTCCTGTTTTACTTGTCGTCTAATGATGACTTCTTCAATTGTCTTCTTTGATACAGAGTTATACAAATCGGTGATTCTTTTTTTTATGGTCAGTTGTTGCTGCAAACCTTTTCTGTCAGATTCATCCCTGAGAACAAAATGTGTTTGTCTTTTATTTTTTACAGCTCACTGAAATGGGGAAGGAGATTCTGCCCCCCTGGTTGTACCTGGACAAAGACAGCTGCACTCTGAGAGGATTGGCCCTGGAGCAGGATAAAGGTGTTCATCACATCCTGCTGACCACGGAGACCGTGACGGGCCGGACCGGCGGCCCGCTCTTTGAAAGGAAGATCTTCTCTGTGGAAGTTTACCCTGAAGAAAGGGCGGAGCCTGAGCCCGGCCTGCTGTCTCTGCAGTCTGACCTGGGCGGTCCACACCTCCTGACCTGTGGCCCCGAGAAGGTCGTCACAGTCCTGACCGTCATCCTGGATGCTGACCTGACTAAGATGGATGCCCAACAGAGAGTGTCCTTGCTGCGCAACATGACCAAGTTCTCGGGCGTCGCCCCGGAGCACATGAAGGTGGTGCCTGTGGTCAACAACCGTCTCTTTGACATGTCTGCCTTCATGGCAGGACCAGGAAACGCCAAGAAGGTGGTAGAGAACGGAGCGCTGCTCTCATGGAAACTGGGCTGTGCCCTGGACCAGGGCAGCATCCCTGACCTCGGCAGTGTCCAGTCCTCGGCCAAAGACGGGACCATGTCCTCCCGCCTGGGGTATCCTGTGGTAGGCTGGCACATTGTAAACAAAAAGCCCCATGGAGTGAAACGGGTCAGGCGGCAGTTGAACAACACACCCACCCCAGTACCATCCCTGCTCCCCCCAACCACCCACCCTGAGCCCCCTGTACGTGTTGTACCAACACCAACATCGCCCGCAATTTCTCCCGCCACTAAAAACACCACCCCTCCTGTGAGAGGCCCGTTGCCTCTTCCAGTCAAACCTACAATGAGGGTCAGGGACCAGATTGCTCATACACCTGTTCTCGGGCCCCCCCAACCTACGAAGGTACTAGAAACTACCAGCGCTCTCCCAATTCAGCCGACCATGACCCGGCCCACGTTTGTAGAGGCCACTGCTGTGCCAACAAAACCAAGCACCACCAAGAGGCCCAAGTCCACATCCACGCGAAGACCCAACAAGAAAAACAAATCCACCACTCCGGCTCCTCGGGAACCCAAGTCTACGACGGTGAAGCCGCCCCGACGCACCAGTCCTCAGGCTTTGGCTCCGGACTCCAATCAGATTCCAGAGATCCACAATGCCATTGATCAGGTTACCACATGGGTCGGCACCTACTTCGAAGTCAAGATCCCACCTGACACATTCTTTGACAGGGAGGACGGAACCACCGATAAGCTGCGTCTGACTCTGAAGAAGACACCGAACGAGCCCGTGACCGAGACGTCCTGGATCCAGTTCAACAGCACCATCCAACTGCTGTACGGCCTTCCAGAGGAGCAGCACGAAGGGAAGCACGAGTACTTCATGTTGGCCACCGATAAGGGCGGGGGGAGCGTCATGGACGCCTTCGAGGTCCAAGTCAACCGTCTGGCTGCTAGTGACAAACCTTCGGTTGTGTTTGCTGCTCGTTTCCATGGTGACCCTAAAACTTTGACCAGCGATGTCCACAAGAAGATTCTCCTGACCAAAAAGTTGGCGTACGCTCTGGGCGATCGTAACAGCAGCACGGTGACTCTGAAGAGCATCACGAAAGGTTCCATCGTGGTGGAATGGACCAACAATAGTCTCCCGCAGAGTCCCTGTCCCAAGGACCAGATTATGGCTCTGAGCAACAAGATCTCTGACCCCCAGGGAACACCCAAGCCTGCCTTTGTCAAGACCATGGAGCCAGAGTTCAGGCCCATCAACGTCTCCATCCGTGGTACCAATAAATGTCACAGTTACACCTTTGTGCCACCGGGGGAAGTTCCGGCGCCTGTTGTTCCTACATCCACGACGATGCCTGGCACCGGCCTGAGGAGCGGCGACGACGTCTACCTTCACACTGTCATTCCTGCCTCGGGGGGGGCGGGT